AGGAACCAATAGGATGAATATATATAAATATATACACACACACACATATATATGTGTGTATAAGAAGGAAAAAAATGGGGCAGGAGGGGTGCCACATGGCTCGCAGGATCTTGGTTCCCTGATCAGGGATTAAATCTAGGCCATGGCAGTGAAAGTGTCTAATTCTAACCACTGGACCGCAAGGGAATTTCAAAAAATTTTTAATAAGGATTGGCTCAGACATTTTTGTAAGACTTGGCTCACACAGAACTGGCAGCACAGTCCTATAATCCACCATCTGGAAAACCAGGAGAGTTGGTGGTGTGCCTCAGTCCAAGTCCAAAGGCCAGTGGTGTCAGTGCCCCCCAGGACTGTAAAGCTGGAAGGCCCATGAACCATGAGCTCTGATGTGAGAGGGCAGGAGATGAGCAAATCAGCCCTCACACTGTCTTTCTGTTCTGCCATGACCTAAGTGAGTTGCATGAGGCCCACCTGCTTGGATAAAGGTGATCTTTACTCAATCAACTCACAGGCTAATCTCTTCCATGATCTCAGGCACAGTCAGCTCCTGGTCTTGTTTTTGCTGACTGTATAGAGCTTCTCCATATTTGGCTGCAAAGAATATAATCAATCTGATTTCAGGGTTGACCATCTGGTGATGTCCATGTATTGAGTCTTCTCCTGTGTTGTTGGAAGAGGGTGTTTGCTATGACCAGTGCATTCTCTTGGCAGAACTCTATTAGCCTTTGCCCTGCTTCACTCTATACTCCAAGGCCAAATTTGCCTCTTGACTTTCTACTTTTGCATTACAGTCCCCTATGATGAAAAGGGCATCTTTTTTGGGTGTTAATTTTAGAAGGTCTTGTAGGTCTTCATAGAACTGTTCGACTTCAGCTTCTTCAGCGTTACTGGTCAGAGCATAGACTTAGATTACCGTGATATTGAATGGTTGGAAACCAACAGATCATTCTGTCGTTTTTGAGGCTGCATCCAAGTACTGCATTTCAGACTCTTCTGTTGACTATGATGGCTACTCCATTTCTTCTAAGGGATTCTTGCCCACAGTAGTAGATATAATGGTCATCTGAGTTAAATTCACCCATTCCAGTCCATTTTAGTTCGCTGATT